AGTTGTATACACTGGCACTCGTTTTTCTTGGTCAATAACTGTGCTATCCTAGTTGTTAGATTTTTCAACATCATTTCAGGCTATGAGACCCAGTGATTTACTGGCCACCACCAAAGATTTCAGTAGGCCAAACTATGCCAATTACAGTGGACCAGCTTCCTTTTATAACTCTTTCCACTGTGTCTCCATTTGGAAGCACTGCTATTCAGCCTCTATCAACCCTAAGATTCTGATATCTCCATTAAAATAGGGAGCCCATTAAAAAAATAAAATAAAAAATAAATTAATAAAATAGGGACCCCATTTTAACCATGGCATTTCCCACAAGTCTCCCAGAGTTATTAAAATGTCCTCAATTTAAAAAAAGTCCTCAATAAAATGCTGATTCCATTAATACATTAAAAGGGTCATATACCATGAACAAGTGGGATATATTCGAGGGATGCAAGGATGGTTCAACATCAGCAAATCAGTCAATGTGATACACTACATTAACAAAATTAAGGAAAAAATCATACGATCATCTCAATAGATGCAGCATTTGACAAAATTCAATATCCATTTATAATAAAAACTCTGAACAAAGTGTTTACAGAGGGCATAAAAAAAGCCACATATTATAAGCCCATAGCTAATATTATACTCAATGGTAAAAAGCTGAAAACTCTTCCTCTCAATCAGGAACAAGGCAAAAATGCCCATTCTGACCACTATGTTATTCAACATAGTATTGGAAGTCCTAGCTAGAGCAATTAGGCAAGAAAAAGAAATAAGAGGCATCCAAATTGGAAAGAGAAAACTGTCTCTATTTGCAGATGACATGATACCATATAAATAGAAAACCTTAAAGACTCTACCAAAAATCTTGTTAGAACTAATAAATGAATTCAGTAAAGTTGCAGGATACAAAATCAATATACGAAATCTGTTGCATTTCCATACACTAATAACAAACTATCATAAAGAAAAATTAAGAAAACAATCCCATTTACAATTTCACCAAAAAAAAAAAACAACCCTAGAAATAATTTTAACCAAAGAAATTAAAGATCTGGGGCGCCTGGGTGGCTCAGTTGGTTAAGCGACTGCCTTCGGCTCAGGTCATGATCCTGGAGTCCCAGGATCGAGTCCCGCATCGGGCTCCCTGCTCAGGGGGGAGTCTGCTTCTTCCTCTGACCTCCCCCCTCTCATGTGCTCTCTCTCATTCTCTCTCTCAAATAAATAAATAAAATCTTTAAAAAAAAAAAAGAAATTAAAGATCTGTACACTGAAAATTATAAGACATTAATGAAAGAAATTGAAGACAACAAAAATAAGTGAAAGGTATTCCATGCTCATAGACTGGAAGAATTAATATTGTTAAAATGTCCATACTGCCTAAAGCAATCTACAGATTCAATGCAATCCCTATCAAAATTCCAATGGCATTTTTCAGAGAAACAAAAAATAATCCTAAAATTTGCACAGAACCACAAAAGAACCCAAATAGTCAAAGCAATCTTGAGAAAAAAAGAACAAAGCTGGAAGCATCATACTCCCTGATTTCAAATTATATCACAAAGCCATAATGATCAAATAGTATGGCACTGGCATAAAAACACATATAGATCAATGGAACAAAATAGAAAGCCCAGAGATAAACCCACGCATATATGGTCAATTAATTTACAACAAAGGAGTCAAGAATATACAACAGGGAAAGGAGAGTCTTTCAATAATTTTAGAAAAACTGAACAGTCACAAGCAAAAGAATGAAACTCAGCCACTATCTTACACCATTCACAAAAACCAACTCAAATGGATTAAAGATTTGAATGAAAAACCTGAAACCATAAAAATCCTGGAAGAAAGCATAGGTGGTAATAAGCACCTTGATGTCAGTTTTGGTGATGATTTTTTGGATTTAACACCAAAAGCAAAGGCAAAAAAAGTAAAAATAAACAACTGAGACTACATCAAAACTAAAAAACTTCCACACAAAGAAACCATCAACAAAATGAAAAGGCAACTTACTGAATGGGAGGAAATATTTGCAAACCACATATTTGATAAGAGGTTAATATCCAAAATATATAAAGAACTCATACAACTCAATAGAAAAAAATCCAGTTAAAAAATAGAGAATCTGAATAGACATTTTTCCAAAGAAGACATACAGATACATGAAAAGATGCTCCACACATCACTCTCATCAAGGAAATGCAAATCAAAACCACAGTGAGATATTATGTCACACCTGGTAGAATGGTTATCATCGAAAAGAAATAAGTGTTAGTGAGGCTGTGGAGAAAAGAGAACATTTGTGCACTCTTGGTGGGAATGCCAATTGGTATAACCACTACGGAAAACATATGGAGATTCCTCAAAAAATTAAAAATAGAAATACCATATGATCCACAATTCCACTTTTGGGTATTTATCCAAAGAAAATGAAATTGCTAATTTGAAAAGGTATCTGCACATCTATGTTCACTGCAACATTATTTTCAACAACTAAGATATGGAAACAACCTACATGTCCAATAGCAGATGAATTGATAAAGAAAATGTGTAATACTGTGTATATATTCATATATACATATATGTAGTTCAGTCATAAAAAAAAAATCTTGCCATTTGTGACAACATGGATGGACCTTATGGGCATTATGCTAAATGAAATAAGTCAGAGAAAGACAAATACTGTGTGATTGCTCTTATATGTAGAATCTAAATAAATAAATAGGGATGTTATGTACAGCATGGTGACTATAGTTAATAATGCTGTATTGCATATTTGAAAGTTGCTGAAAGTAAATCTTAACAGTTCTCATCACAAGAAAAAAAATTACTGATGGATGTTAACTGGACTTACTGTGGTGATCATTTTGCATTAATATATACAAATATCTAATCATGTTGTGTATGTGAAACTAATATAATGTTAATTATACCCCAATATTTTAAGAAAATGTTTTTCATGGATGCTGATATTCCCATCACCATTGTATTTCTCAAGGCTTTAGTGAAAGGAGGGTCAGTGATAGGTCTTCTTGGGAGACTTAGGAGATCACCAGGCTTAAAATGGTCTGACTGCACATGACAAATCCACTCCAACATTCCTATCATTGAAATCTTTGAATTCCTCTAACATTATTTCAAGGAATGCTTGCATTCTCGATTTCATTTAATGTGGGCCATTATTAAGTGTACAGTTCAGCCAACTAAAAGTAGAACCAAAAGTAGAATGACTTTCAGCTACTCAAGGCAACACACTGAATCCAGAATCTATGGCAAGTGCACCCCTATCAATCAATTCTATCCAATCCAAAATTGCACTTCTCCTTTCTCAGTACATTTCAGAATCCCATATATTTTCCCTCAGGTTTTGAAAATATAAATAAGCTAAGTCAAGAATTCTTTTGGTGGGAGTCTTCTTATGGATTTCCCTTTCTAACTATCTACCACAGCTCCTCTCTGGCATCTGATATTTAGTGTGTGGAGGTAAAGAGGAATAATGTGGGAAGAGCAGGAGGTAAACTGAGGGAGCTGATTACAGGATCTTCAAGCAAGGCAGTTAACAACCTCTTTAGACAGGAAGAGTTCCCACTTTGATTAGCAAGGGAGGACATGTCCATTCTTCCAGTTTGCCTAGGGGAAGAGGGGTTTCCTGGGACACAGGACTTTCAGTATTCAGACCTGGGTTATTGTTCACACTAGCTTAGGGTATCACACGTCTTCCAAATCCCTCTACCCATAAATCCCCTTTCCAGATCAAGGTCCTCCTGTTTCTGATCAATATTCTTAAATACAAGGCCTGGTGAAAGCTGTGAATGCAATTCCTGGTGGAATCTGGCAACCAGTAGGATCAAGAATGTTCTTGTTTTCAGTTATTTCATCCTTACAGCTAGCAAGACAGAAAAGATTCTTCTGGCAAAAACATAGGCATTTTTCTAGTTTTTAATGCCATGCCTTGAGCTGATTTAAGCCTTTGAGCCTCGATAATCGCTTTCTTGATGAACCCATCTCTGTAGAAGCAACCACCCTTTCCCACAGTCCTGTATTTCTCCCCACTTTACCCTGTTTGATGGCAGCAGCCGGTTGTCGGCCTTAACCTTCCCAGCCTCACATAATGCACTCCATCCATTTTTGCTTCATGGTTGTGTTCTTGAGGTCCCAAAGATATTTTGCTACATTAATTTTTAACTTTATATTTTTACTATTTATATTTAATTCTTTAACCCATCGGAAGTCTAAGGTAGGGTTCTCGTTTTGATTTTCTCCATGTGGTAGGCCCGTTTTCCCAATTCTTTTATTAAACACCCTATTCCTTTTATCTGTTGATTTTTGGGCTATCTTTGTGATTCACATACTCAGGGGGTCTGTGGGCTTCCATGACTTTGATGTACATGAAATTATCTGGATTTTGGAGGTTAGTATAAGGTAATGTAAAATATTTCATTAGTACTTTTATATCAATTCCATATTGAAATAATATTCTGGAGGTGTCAGTGTACATAAAATAAATTATTAACATGGATTCCACCTGTTTCGTCTTTTTATGAGGCCACTAGAAATTACACAAGTGGCCCACTTCCTTTTTCTATTGGATGATGCTATTCTAGACTCCATCTAGTGAAGACAGAACAGACTATGAAGCAAGATTAAACAGGGAGCTCACCTCCTTCACTGATTAGCTCTGTGGACTTGGTAAGTTCCTTCAAATACCTACTTTGTAAGGAACTTGTAGGGACTACAGTAAATAAGATAATCTACACAGAATACTTGAAACCTAGTAAGAAATCATCCAATGCTTGTTTCATTATCTTTCTCTGAGGATAAGAAAGTAGTTCATTTATCATAATATACAGCAAATATGACAACACATGTATTAAACGAAGGTCATGCTGAAATTACCTATTAGAATATTTTTAAAATGTATAACCTGTCATATGACTGCTGAGATGCAGCATTATCATTTTACAATTTAACAGTATTTTAAGAGAAACAGACAATCATAATTTTATACATTCACTTTCTCTATGCTTTAATCAATCTTTTGCATAGGTAAATACATTTAGTTAGAGCTACAAGACAACAGGAAACAAGAAATCAGCATTCTGGATCTTTTCAAAGTAACTATATTGAGGAAACTCTTGACTAAATGTTACTTTCAGAAATACCCCCACCCGTTCTATTCACACCTAAAACAATCTGTGTAACCGTCAACCTTCAATAAATCATTTTATAGTATAGTTTATCTTGAACATCTTCTTATACTTTTTAAAAGCTTTACTTCAAAAACAAAATCCTCCAAATAATTCTACAAATAAATAGCAAATGTTACTGCACCTGAGCTTAAGAATTTAAAATTGTTTCCATTCGTTCAGTTATGAACATCTAAAGTAAAACTTGAAATTAATATTAATTTCTGGGCTAGAACTACTGATGGTAATTAGAATATCTCAATACCTGACGTCAAGATGATTTCGGATACTGGGGAACTGGTTACAAAATTTCCTCCAAACCCAGAGGAAAATGAGTTTGTTGTAACAAGTGAGCTCCTCATTACCTGAACTAATCAAGGAAACACGAGGGCAGGTCATTCATGTCGGAACCCAGCTTGTCTGGGAACCATGCTCTCGATCCTGACTCTGGAGATCTCTGTCCTAAGAGGTCGGCTCCACAGGCAGCCCTTTCTCAAGGAGATTATCTGCTCCCTCTCTCAGCTCTTCCCATGGCTCGAGCTATGCGGAACTGAGGATACCAACCTCAGGACAGGGACCACAGGCTGCAAATACCTGGCAGCAACAGTGCGAGGAGAGGACATTCAGCCAGGGGCCGAAGAAAGGTGCTTTTAGAAGGGATATCTGACTGAGGACCAAGGTGATAAGAAGATGTCACAACGGCGGAAGAATATTAAAATCTAAGGCTGCACAAGGCATTGTAAACAGCAACGATCTTTCTTAGAAATGTTAGAGTTCAGTTGCACTAAAAGAACTAATATAATCTAGGATTGGAATAAAAATACCTGATAAGTTATTTTCTCTAGGCAACAAAGTTAAGTGTTGTTTCTGTTTTTAGCAGAAGTTCACCTATGCCTAAATTCATTTGTCTTTATAAAAAAAGAGTAGATTTTTAACAAAACAGTCAACAAAAGAACTATGGATTTTAATGTTGAGTATATCAATTTATTACTAATTTTGGTCTTTCCATTAGTTCCCTGTATAAAAATGATGTGTTTCTCAGTAGTAGGTACAATAGCTTTTAAAGAGAACTTGGGCAAAATAATGAGCAGAGAAACCATAAATAACAAGAAAGTAAATGAAGCAAAACTGTCTAGTGTGATGTTTACCCTAAAGTATATTAATATCCTTCCATGAACTTTTATTGTTAAAGTAAAATTCTTAGTCTAATGAATTATTATAAAAGATTCCAATCTTTAAAAATTATGAAAGACTTTAAGATCTCATTAACAGAATTAGAAATGTCAGTTATTATGCCACTGGTCAAGTTTGGTCTGTATTTTCTGGGCCTCTTTAGGCCAAGAATAACAATCAGGTAGAATCTGGTCATAATTAGCATTATACATCTGAGAGCGGACAAAGGCTTCCTTGTTTGGGGGTTCAGGATAAACTGTGGCTGTCTTTTCTTGGTAAGCATCATTCACAATCTAGGAATAAAAAAGAATATTAATTATTTTAATGAATAGAGTTGATGATGAGTACGTGTCAGTTTGTATCTGTTTCAAAAAATTTATGTCTTGTCTAAAAAAACTAAGTTAGAGTATAATAAAAGCACACATACACAAAGAAGGTATAAAATAAAAATGCAATTTTAAATCATATAGCAGGAGGAGAATATGATCTCAGCAACGGAAAGTGTGCACAAGAGCGATTTATCAAATGTAATCGTAACAGGATTTCACAGATAATCCAGTGGTAAAAGTCTTGACATGACCCGAATGATAATTAACTTGAACTAAATACCTTAATATTCCTGCTAAGTTTGAACTCAGTGTGCAGTTTCAACAATTCCTATGCTGACCACAGCCTCCTACAAAATGTCCTTATTATAACCCTGCTCACCTAATCAGCTGGACTCTGCGGTCAGTTTGAACGCTCCTCGCCAGTATGACAGAATCTCGTCTCCCTGTCTTGCTGTCACACTTGCCATTCTGGTCCCCGGTCTGGGGAACCCTCAGTGCTGGCTTTCTTCCTTCATGGCTGCCTCCTGAGATGCCATACTTTTCCTAATCCTACCTGGGTCCATGTGGTCACACATTATGCTTTTATCCTTTTCTTTAAACAAACAAGAACCCTTTCTCTCCTAGTTCCCACAAGGCAATTTCAAACCTTCCTCTGTCAAATCTGCATTTGACTGTCATCACTGGAATGAGAACATTGCAGCTAATCAGAGAAAACAATCTCAATTTCCCCTTCCAACAACTCAAAACTATCTCCTCTGTATCTTTAAACATTCGGTCTTCCTTTACTTTCTTTGAAATGAATGGATTCTCCCTCTTGTCAAAATTAATCACTCTATGCTCTTTAATTCACTCCAGTTGTAAAAAAGTAGTCACTGGGGGTTATTTATGTAATAGAGTTATTTGGATAAGTCCAATTTTGAAGACTACTGGAATGATTAAGTATCTCTTCTCAATGCAAAATTATGCATTTATGAAAAATTATGGTTACAAAGACTGTGCCATATTATGGAGAAATGTTTGTGAAAAACATGAAATAGATGTATACGCCATGATTAGGATGATGTTAGCAAAGAAAGCAAGCAAATGAAAAAAGATCGGAGGCGAATACACCAAAACAATAAAACTGCTTATGTTAGAAAAATAGAGTATTGGGTAGTTTCTTCTCTTTTTCCCAAAGTACCTATAAATTACTTTTTAACAGCTTTTTTGAGGTATAATTCAGACTACAAAATTCAAACATTTTAAGTGCACGATTAAATTATTTTTGTAAATTGGCAGAGTTGTGCAACTGTTATCACACCCAGTGATCGAATATCTCCATCACCCCAGAGGCCCCCTGTGCTATGCATTGTTGCGTTCCTGACATAGACTATGTTCATCCCTCTTTCTGCTCCCAGGACACACTGTACCAATGACGTCCTCTCTCAGTGACGTCTTCACTCTCTCCTTGTCAATGCCAGACTCCGCAAGAGCAGCTTGTATTCTCTTGCGTTCCGAATTCTCCCTAACTTCTGTGCTACTGAAATTGCTTTTGTAAAAGGTTTTGATAACTTCGTAGGCACTAAAAAGTTCACCTGTGTTTCTCACTACCACAGCTGTGTCGATCATAACTTCCACGCCCATCCTGACACTGTGCCTTGTCTAATTTCTGACCCGCTGCTCCGTTCTGAGTCTCTTCTTAAAATCCTGACTTCTCTTCACTGGCTTCTTGCCTCTGTCTTCTGGACAGTATAACAAACCACGTTCTATCCTTGGTTCTCATCTGTCTATACTTGCTGTCTTGGTAGCCCCAACCACTCCTGGCCCTTCCCTGTAACCACACGGAAATACTGCCCACACCTGTATATCTAGTGTCTCTAAGTTTCAGTCATTTCCATAGACTTGCTGGAATTGTGGGAATTGTATACAAACGTGCCCTGAAACCTCAAGCTTGAGGTCCACTTAGACCATCTTCCTCCCTCAACTTGATTCTTTGTCCTGACTTGCTAGTTTCTGTCTCTGCTCTCTGCGTTTTCCCATTATTCTAGGTGTAATATCTGAGTCTGTCTGAACTCCCCTGAGGTTCCTTGCTTTTGTACTTTCTCCTCTAATCATAAGCTAACACCTTCTCATTTAAATCTTCATATTGAACTTAACATGATAATGTCCTGTTCCGTGCATTAACAATCCAAACTTGTTAAAAACTAGGAGACATAAATAGTAGAAAATAGGATACTCTTTCAGGATAGGTAACCAAGCGGATTATCTAAACTTTTTTGAAATATTATATGGTTTTTGAAGCATGTGCCCTCAATCAACAAGACAAATAATGGTATGTGAATCCTAAATATGGTATTGCTTTGATAAATTTGCTAATGGTTTTGATTTTCAACCAAAAGTAATTTTGCCCCTGAGGGGACACTTGGCAATGTCTGGAGACATTTTTGGTTGTCACAACTGGGCAGAGGCTACTGGCATCTAGTGGGTAGAGGCCCGGTATGCTAAGCATTCCATAATGCCCAGGATAACCTCCACAACAGAGTTATCCAGCCAATATGTGCATAGTGCTGAGGTTGAGAAACCCTAGTTTAAACATAAAACATATAAACATAACCATTATGGGCTGACTTCTGTCACCCAAAATTCATCTGTACTAACCCCCAGTACTTCAGAGTGTGATTCTCTTTGGAGACAGGGCCTTTAAAGAGGTAATTAAATTAAACTGAGGCTGTTTGGTGGGCCCTAACCCAAAGTGAGTAGTGTTCTTATAGGAAGGGTAAATTTCTCATACCAAGAGAACCAGGGATGTTTGTACACAAAGAAAAGACCACACAAGGACACAGTGAGAAGTCATCTACAAGCCAAGGAGAGAGCCCTCCAAGAAAATCAAGCCTCCAACTGCCTAATCTTAGATTTCTAGCCCTCAAATTGTTGTTTGAGCCATCGGGTCTGTGGTGTCTTGTTATGGTAACCCTAATAGGCTAATACATTTATATTGCATAAAAAAATCAAATTTCTCACTCATCTTAATTAAAGAAAATTTCTCTGAGTTTAGGTTCTTCTTGGCTAATTGTTCCAATAGCTCATCTGTTGGCCCAACAGCTTTGAGTTGCTTGCCCTCATTGTTTTGCCCCCTGCCCAGTATTATCAGTTGTGATCTTGAAGATGCCATACATCAAGGCAACATGGATAAGACAGGTGACTCAAGGTCTAAATATTACTCTACCACATCTGCAGTATTTTGGTGACTATCCCAAGTGTGATATGGAAAACAATAAGTAAAAAAAAAAAAAAAAAGATGAAGTGGGGAAACCTAACTGAAATGAAACCCTACTAACTTAGATTATGGAAGAGAAAAAGAATGATAGGAAAATTAATGATTCAGCCCAATTCTTCAATTCCTAGGGATGAAGTGTAATTCTTAAGTTCTGCTGAGGCACTGTGTCTCATTTCTCTGACTTCTGACAAAATAAGTTGATTCAGATATACATTTCAAGGAAGTGGATTTTCAGTACCTAAAAATGCATATTTAGCAATAGAAGGAAGGAAAAATAATGAGACTCAAGCAAGTGTGGTTTTACCTTTGTTGCGATTTTCAGAGAAACATCTCTAATGGTGTCCAAAGGAGGATAAAGCCGGCCCTCTTCCAAGTGTTTATCTGATACTTGCTGGGCTATAACCTTTCAAAAAAAGAAAGACAAAAAATGTTTTACTTATATTTAAAAGGATAACTAGGTGAATTGGTCACATATGGTGATGTATAGAAGTGGGTCACATTAATGTGATCACCTAATTTCGTCTCCCCCTTTGTCCATGGGAAAACTGAGCCCAGAGAGACTTGGGGATTGGTGGGATCACACCATTAGTAAGACGGGAATAGAAACTGCATTGTCTGCTACTCCAGTTCCTTTTCTACTGTGCCATGAAGTGCTGGAAGCTTTCCTTCTGATATACTAGAGGAACGGGGCGGGAGAGGAGCAAGGAAGGCAGAGGAGGATGACGGAAGTGAGGGGAAAAGTAGCCTGAGAGTATAGGAGGGAAGGGGGCCAAGGCTGATCACGCTGCTTCTCCCGGCTCACATATTCTTTTTTTAAAATTAATTAATTAATTAATTAGTTTTTAAATTCAATTAATGAACACATAATGTATTATTAGTTTCAGAGGTAGAGTTCAGTGATCCATCAGTCTTATATAACACTCAGTGCTCATTACATCACATACCCTCCTTAATGTCCACTACGCAGTTACCCCACCCCCCATCTCTCCCCCCTCCAGCAGCCCTCAGTTTGTTTCCTAGAGTTAAGAGTCTCTTATGGTTTGTCTCCCTCTCCGACGTCGTCGTGTTTTACTTTTTCCTCTCTTCCCATATTCCGGCACAAGCGGTAGAGCAGGAGGCTGAGACAGCCAGGTTGGAGCCACACTGCAAAGGGGATTTCAACTCACCCAGATTCTGGATTATCTGAATCACCTAACTGGCCGCGGCATTCACTGTCCCCAGACCCTTCCCTATTTCTAAATCAAACGGCATATACTTAAACATCTGCTAAGGGGGTAGATCTTAGGTAAGTCTTCTTATCTCCCTCTCTCAAGCACTCTCTGTCTGTCTCACACACACCACAAAATAATAACAATAAAGAGAAGAGGAAATGGCTTTCGGCAGTGATGGAGGTATTTATGGTGCACGTGTTGGTGATCATTTCACAGGTGTATTCTTTTTTTTTTTTTTTAAGATTTTTTATTTATTTGTGAGAGAGAGAATGAGAGACAGCATGAGAGGGAGGAGGGTCAGAGGGAGAAGCAGACTCCCCGCTGAGCAGGGAGCCCGATGCGGGACTCGATCCCGGGACTCCAGGATCATGACCTGAGCCGAAGGCAGTCGCTTAACCAACTGAGCCACCCAGGAGCCCCTCACAGGTGTATTCTTATCTCCAAACTCATCTAGTTGTATAACTAAATATGTATAGCTTTTTGTATGTCAATCAGACCTTAATAACATATTTTTTTAATTAGACAGATTGACATTATATGCCTCCTGAGGTAGGATGCTATTATTAGGCCGTTGGCTCCTAACAAAACCGCACACCAGGAATTCAATCATGAGGAAACAATCACATCAACCCAAAGTGAGGAACACTGTAAAAACCAACTGGCCTATATTGCTCCCAAATGTCAGCGCCATAAAGAAAAGACTGAAATATTCTTGCAGATTAAAGGATTAGTCTAGAGGCTAGAAAGGCCTTTTCTTATGGATAATTGGCAAAATGTTAATTTGGACTGTACATTAGATAATACTATTATATCAGTGTTAAAGTTCCTGAATTGAAAATGGTAGAGAGACCACGTAAAAAAAAAAAGTCCTGAAATATCTAGGGGTAAAGGGACATAATACTGTAAGTTGCTCTCAAATGGTTCAACAATAAAGTTCTATATGCTCAGTTATTTGCGAAACCTTCTGGGGCACAGAGGCAGACTCAGCAACCTTGAAGTTCCCTCCAGCTCTAAGACTTTGATTAGGTATTTCAGCAGGGCAAGTCTAAACCAGTGACAGACCTGAGGATGCAGAGAGGAAGGAGAAAATCTTCCTCGTTTGAAACATTTTGAATAATCAAACACTTATTTTTCAGTATCTCTTAATATCTTTGAGATTTTTTAATCATGAAATTATTTCTGCTATTCCATCAGCAAATATGAAAGACACTAGGCAAGCATAACACCAAGAGAGGTTAAAAAGGCAGTTCCTGCCCTTGAGAGAGTTATAATTTAGTGAGGGAGAAAAAGAAAATGCTGAGAGAGGACAGCCTAGGCTAAAGGTGAAATGTGAGTGTTACGATATCCAGAGGAACACTGGAGGGAGCTTGAGTACAGGACTGAAGGAGAGCTAGAAGTTATACGAACAGGGAAGTGGTGGCCCTCCAGAAAGAAGATTCAGACCAAAGGCAGAGATATATGAGCTGGACTCAGTGAGCTCAAGTGACCTGATCTGTGGGGGGGGAACTGTATAGAGAATAAGGATTGGAGTATTGTCAATGCCAAATTAAGGAGTTCTGGTTAAATCCTATGGGTAACTGAGGACTTCTGAACAAGGATATTTAGGCAGGTGTGTGGGGTGAAAGAGAGTAAGATGAAGTTACTAGTATAACTGTTATTTGATTAATAGAACATCGCATATTATGCAAAATATTATAATGTATAATTATATTCACAAAAGTTGATCATAAAGAATTTTATAATAAAGACACTGTTTAACTCATTTATTTCTTGTCTTTATAACAGGATGTTGAGTAAAACTTCTCCTTTGCCCCAGATTTGGTGATCAGGGCCCCCCACTCTAGCGCAAAGAGAATTAAGTGTTTGACATTATAATGAAGCCACTAAATAAGTGGGGACTGCCATCTCCCTCAGAACCTAAGAGGTGGCAGAATCAGCCCTGCCACCCCCACAAACACAGCCACCCCTTCCCAGAGGCTGAGAAGGGGAGAAACAGGGAGAGTCGCTAGAACCATGATTTGGCCTAGTCATAATGCAGTGGCTTTTCCTCCTTCTTGCTGCATGCTGCTCCTCTCGAAAGCTTGAGGTGCCTTCAAGAAGGAGAGACTGGCATTCTGTTCTCCACTTAGCCTGAGCAGTTATAGACCTATGTATATAAGGAGAGGTGAAGAGAATGGGAAGGGGGGGTTGCTGGGGAGCAGCCCATACCCCTAGAAGGCATGTGCTTCGAAGGCTGAGTGACCACTGCAGAGGATGATCCAACAGGCTGGGAAAACTGAGGAAGGGGAGGGAGGCTGAGCTGGAGCCAAACCGCTCATGTCTTGCCCTAGAGGGTCCTTTAAATACTTGTATACGTGCCCCATGAGAAAGCCAGATCTTGGCCCCTGCTTCCAATGGTTTCATGGCCTAAAAAAGTGGAGAGTTAATAAAAGCCATGTTTGCCCTTTTCCGTACCCTTCTTTTCTGTATCCAACACATTTGAGGAGATAGGCCTTGATGAGAAGAGGGAGGAGGTTTTTCAGAGCCTGGCCACACTCTTTGCCCCAAGCCCCTCGAGGTGCTGGTATGGAGGGGGAAGAGAAGGTGGCTCTCTGCCAGCGGCTCTTGCAGGCCTCTTGTACTGAAAGGAGAGGGCATGCTATCTGAACCAGGTACATATTCTGAACTTGACAGATGTTTAATTATTGTTCACTGAGGTAGCCCCAGCACCCAGAATAATGCCTAACACGTAGTAGGTACTTAATTAACACTCGTTAAAAGAATGAGTGAATTGAAACAGAATTGAATGTTACTGAGATGCCATTAAGAGAAAGAAAAGAGAGACTTGAAGGAGAATTATTCCAAACAGCGATTAGGGCAAAATAAAAACATTTTATGTTGATTCCCCATTGAATATAGGCTGCTTAGAAAATCATGTTAGTTCTTGTTTTTCTGCAAAGGATTTTTAGCAGATTTAAATCAGTTGGCATTTCTTAGATGTTAAAGCAAAAACTTGCATGGGGATCCAGTATTGTTATTTACCCGGATAGAGAAAAAAATGAGTAGCGCAATCTTGAAAGGACAGAATTTCATGGCGGTTGAAAGCTCAGGCTCTGATGGGAGGTAGGTCCATATTCAAATTCTAACTGCAATAATTACTATTTGCTTGAATTCAGGCAAATTAATTAACCTTCCGAAGCATAGTTTTCTCTTCAGTGATATAAGACTAATAACAATTCCTAAATCAGGGGATTAAATGAAATAAACACCAGTAGGGAATTTACCACATTGTCTGGGAAAGTAAGTGTTCAATAAATCTTAGCTATTTCACTTTTAAAAGAACAGTTGGCAGCCAGCATGGTAGAATGGAAGAAGATGGCTGAGTAAAGAAGAATCAGTCTGAGTCTTTGCTCTCCATGGATGCCTGTCATACAGAGAGGGAGCCAAGAAACCATGGAACAGAGTCAAGCAGCAACAGGTGACAACGGGGAGCCTACTGTTAGGAACGAAATCACTAAAACGGAAGGGACTGACCTGGGGAAAAGAGAGAGTATAAAACAGTCTTAGTGTCACTCTCACCAATTAGCTCATTCACTCAAAAATTATTTGCTGCTCTTGATATGCCATTGGTGTCTCTCTAACTACACTGGGTCCACTTTCAAATGATCTCTCTTCGTTTCATTCTGACAATGTTACAGCGGCTAGATTTTCACTTATCCAGTGACTTAAATGAATCCGCTTCCTCCAGATGCTGTTGTCTATTGTGATCATCTCTAGTGTCCTCTGGACACACATCAGAAAGGGGTGGGCGAGCCAGGTGAGAGGACACAAAGCAGGTGACTCAGGAGGAATAGTGTAAGGATAGGAAGCCAAGGCTTGCGTCTCAGATGTGGACAGGAGGTGAGGAATCTGTTCCCAGGCTGCTGTACAGACAATGCAGGGCCAGGGGGGCTAACCCAGGGGAGCACTAAGTGTTCTTATCAGAGGTCCAGAAGGCTGCCAGAGTACCAGGAAAGCCAGAAATCTCTTTGTGATATAAAAATGCCCAGAAAACCTTCAGGACTGATGTTGATCCATGAGATTTCCAGTTCCATTAAGAGACCCAACTAGTATTTCAGCAATAATCCTAAATTAACAAATTTTGGGTTGCCAAACAAAAAGATTCACCTAGATCTCCCACATGTAACTTTTGTTAACTACAAAATATAATCTAGACAAGGACTTCCCTCTTTGGGCCCTCTAGCAATGAGCATCTGTGGTATTGTATTTATTCTTCTTGCTAAGATATATGACTAGTTCTATTTAGCTCCATTCAGTATTCACTAAGTTTCTATTATGTGCTTTAGCATTGTACTAGGTGCTAATGGTGTTTTTAAAGAAGTATACGAAAGACTGTCTTTAAAGAAGATAATTTACAATTTAATTGTAAGGCAACACTTAACTGTTTAAAACATAAAGCTCTCAAGAGCATAATACAAGTAGAAATTAAACTAAATGTCAAAGTATTTGATAAAGACAGCCATGGCTAAGGACAAAGATCAAGATGAGCCACAGCAGTCACAAAAGGATTCAAATGTGAGGTGGGACCTAAGCAGTGTCCAGAGGGATAGGCTTAGATAGGTGGAAAATAGTTCTCAGAGTTTTCCAGGCAGGATAATAGAGCAGTTATACAGGCGTATGTATGCACAGTGTGTTTGAAGCTTTGGGATAAGGGAGAATGAAAGAATGTCAGGCTTCTAAGTTTTAGTGTCTGCTTAGAAAGGGGTATCCCTAATAGCAATGCAAATACTGAGGGTGAGGGAGGGTGAGAAGGTTTTATGCATTTGCGTTTAAGGAAAGAGCAGGGGATTTCTGTGGAAATATCCATCAGATAACTGGAGACATGGGAAAAGATGAAACTAGAAATACATAGATTTGGCCACTTTTAGAATTAAGATAATGGAAACAAGAGAATGGATGAGATCCCTAAAAGCATAACAAAAAGGGAAGAAAAAAGGACACACACACAAAAAAGAATGCTAGAAAAAAGCTCGCAGTTTAAGGGACAGAAAAGAAGACAAAGAAAACAATGAGGTGGTATGAAAAACAGGAATGTTGTGCTGAAGCCTGAGAGAAAACCAAGGGAAAGGTCAAAAAGATTTCACCAGAGAGATCACTATCTATGATAAGAATAAGACTATTGACATTACATTTTTTTTTCTTCAAAATTTTTTGGTAGTGATTATTACTTTGCCTGGATAGTAAATGGAGGATTTTTTTCATGAACCTTGTCACTAGATGGTGCTGGAGTTATTTAGGAAAGCAAACATGGACGGCAATGAGTAAAAGATTTTTTTTCCCCTTTGATATGTCAGTTACATAGAACAACGATTACATTTTCCTTACTGTATAAACAGCTTTGAAAAGCTCTCTGAGTAATTAGACATCTACTTATGTTTAACAAGATTTTTGAGTTAAACTCTGAGACATCAGCTGTCATGCTTTTAATGCAGTGAAGAAAGAAAGGAGCAGAACATTATAGCCTTCAGACACCTGTTCTCACAGAATGAGGCCAAGTGTTAAGCACTGGGATTATAATCCTTGGATCACATCAATAGCATAAGACTCTTTATCTATATTCTTAGAGTTCCCCTTCAAAACAGAAAGAATAGTATGTTTGCAAGATGAAAATATTTGAATTTTAATCAATTTTTATTTTTATTTAGCTCAGTTTAGTTATAATGTTGTATAGTGGTTTAATTTTAGAGGAAATTCACTCAAATTTCTCAATCATGAATTGCATCCTGTTCAAACATGGTATCAACCAGATGAACATTCTGATTATCAAAAGCTCATGATTTTACAAATACATGCCCAATCATTGCATCATCCCCCCTGAAGCTTGTGGGATTAGGGGAAGTGATGGGAACCTGAAGTTTATGGTACCTCTTATGCCATAAGTAATAAAGGCATTTGTCTCTGACCTAAGGGTTTTGTGCCAGTATCTATGAAACTATGGCAAGCTAACTTGTTAGCTTCCAACTAAGGTAAATTTTAGATCCTTCAGTTCCTAAGAGTAGCTTAAGAGTCCCTCTAGTGGGTCTGCTCTGTGATATTTTGAGAATCTTTCCCGAAGGCCCACACTCAAACCCCCATCTGTCCTTTTAATGACTTTATAAACACTAATTCCCTGTTTTAATTTTCTTTCTGCTTAAAATATTAGAGTATTTTCTGTTTTCTGCCCTGAACCCTCAATGATAAATAAGACTTTCATCTTCAAGCTCCAAAATGCTGTTATTTAGGAAGGTTTGGAGAAATGGAGAAATACTTACCACTTCATTATGATGTGGAAACAGTATTTTTAATTGTGTCACTACTGTCACAGAATTCGATTGGAAGTGTGAAGACAAAAAAGGGTTCCTTGTAAGAGATCAGAACAATTTTTCTACTGGCCACTGAAGAACAGTCTTCTATTTAGTGACTCAATATGAACCTGCTACCCACCCCTTATTGTCCACTAGGAGAGATTTTCTTCCCCTTTCAACTTTGTACCTTATAGGGAGAGAGATGAGATGCTATATAAATAAATCATTAAACCACCTACACTGAGCTCATTTGGTGTTTTATAGCCTTGGTGAACACAGAGTATTTTACAATACCTCAGCAGTTGTGAGAAAAATCTTATCTGTGATATGTCTCAAGCCACACGCCACGACACCCAGAGCCACTCCGGGAAACACATAGGAATTGTTTCCTTGGCCAGGATATAGGGTCTGTCCATTCGGAAGAGTGACTGGATCAAAAGGGCTGCCACTGGCGAAAATTGCACACCCCTACAACACAGACACACAACCAACTTTAAAAAGAAGCACGATATTTGAAAACAAATGTATCATAACAGAACTACGCCATAGTTAAAGTACTGAGTGTTTAAGACTAATTTTCATTAACTCTCTAATAAATCCGGGCAAGTTTATATGATGTTGGCAGTAAGTTCTGGAGTGGGTGATTACTACTCTTCTCTGCCTCACTCGCCTCAGAAAAGTGTGCAAAGCACAGGATACCCCAAGACCACCACTCTGTTCTCTGCAGGGGTCCAACCCAAAAGCCTATCAACCATTTCTATAGGGGCTTCAGATTATAGACTTCTGAAGATAAAAAAGTGATAGGTTAACATTAGAGTACTGGAAAGAATGACATTTTAGGTTAGAGTTTAGGGATCTACGCATTTCAACATAATCACTGGGACAAATTTTATGTATTTCTATATTGTAAAGAATTATACAGAAAATCATGTAGGAAACAAACTCATTAGCACAAATGGGATTGGCAAATAAGAGGAAGGTTAAATTATCAATAATTGTCAAAAATTATCATGTTTTTCCTAATCTTCATATTTTGTCATACTGTTTTTGAGAAACCTCATATACTGCATGCTTTAGATGGCAGTGACCTAGGGCCTACCAGGTGCTGCAATTCCATACTGCTAATCAAAAAGCAAGAGGGGCACCTGGGTGGCTGTCAGTTAAACATCAGACTCCTGCTTTCAGCTCAGGTCATGATCTCAGGGTTGCAAGCCCCATGCTGGGTATGGAGTCTGCTTGGGATTCTCTCTCTCCCTCTCCTTTGCCCTTCCCCACTGCTCGCGTTTTCTCTCTCTCTCTCTCTCTCTCTCAAAAAAGAAAAAAAAAGGGAGTCTGCTTGATCTGTGAAGATGAGGGTGGAAACATAGCTGAGAACAGTCAGGCTTCTAAAATAGGTATAGGAAACCCTTGACAAATAAAGCATCACAATCTAAGAAATCCATTTGAGAGGTCCACAGCACCAAATCCCCAAAGCATCATTTAAATTATCACAGGCTGGGCTGTAACTTTCATCCCTATTTAGAGTCTAAATCCATTATAATGTTAATAATATTAACTCAATATTCATTTTTAACAAAGACCATAATATGCTTTTTGTATATAGGTAAAGTTCAACCTTCATCAGGGTATAAAAAGATGAAGACAGATGAGAAAGAAAATTGAAATTCTCATCTAGATGCCTGTAGGACACTTCTATTTTATAGAACATTAGGTTTTGTTTTCAGACAAGTCTGATACCTTCAGCTCTGTTTAGCAGATAAAATAATTACAAGCAACTTTCTAATATAACTTAATTATTACTTGATATATATGTTATATATCTTCAAAAAACTGTATTTGAGAAAAAGAGCTGCAATATTATATATATGTTTATCTCCCTCCCTGCCTTCACTTCCTGCCTACTGTTTTAAAATCACCATTTTGGGCGCCTGGGTGGCTCAGTTGGTTAAGCAATTGCCTTCGGCTCAGGTCATGATCCCAGAGTCCTGGGATCGAGTCCCACATCAGGCTCCCTGCTCTGCAGGAAGCCTGCTTCTCCCTCTCCCACTCCCCCTGCTTGTGTTCCCTCTCTCGCTGTGTCTCTCTCTGTCAAATAAATAAATAAAAAGTCTTTAAAAAAAAAATCATCATTTTAAGGAGGAAGGGCACTCAATAAATGACAGCTATTAGACATTCTCATGGATATGGATTGTTAATATGGAGAAGAAAATCTCTCCATACTATTTTTGGATTATAGTGTTTCATGATTCAATAATCTTTCTTTCTTTCTTTTTTAAAGATTTTATTTATTTATTTATTTGAGAGAGAGAGAATGAGAGAGAGAGAGCACATGAGAGGGGGTAGGGTCAGAGGGAGAAGCAGACTCCTTGCTGAGCAGGGAGCCCGATGCGGGACTCGATCCTGGGACTCCAGGATCATGACCTGAGCCGAAGGCAGTCGCTTAACGAACTGAGCCACCCAGGCGCCCTCAATAATCTTCCTGCATTTTGCATTTTTAACCTTTCCTAATGACCTTTCACCTGTGCCTGAGTCTCTACTCGTCTTTGCTTTGCTGTAATCCTTTGGCTGAACCAGTATTTAAATTTTTAGCCTCAAAATGACTTTCAATTTTATTTCAATTCTTTTTTTTAAGATTTTTTAATTTATTTGACAGAGAGAGACACGGTGAGAGAGGGAACACAAGCAGGGGGAGTGGGAGAGGGAGAAACAGGCTTCCCGCGGAGCAGGGAGCCCAATGCGGGGCTCGATCCCAGGACTCTGGGATCATGACCTGAGCCGAAGGCAGATGCTTAATGACTGAGCCACCCAGGCGCCCCTATTTCAATTCTTTTTAAATAACACAGAACATTAAGTAAGAGGATAAGAAAGAGTTTAGGCCATTTATATCAGACACATTCAAATTTAAAAATACAACTATATAAATTTGGCTAATTTTGTTTATGTCTATTACTGGTGAGTCTATAAACTCTTCACACCTATTGAAATAGGAGACAAAATAATTACATAAACATTTATTATGTGCTTACTATGTGCAATGCACCATGCTAAAATTTTATTGCCCAGAGGAATCTGATTCCCCTTGTAAAGACTTAAGACATACTGAAGGGATGCCAGGCAAATTCCCCAAATCTTGAGATGGGTTGAAAATTAAAATTAAATTTTAACTAAATTGGAAATAAAAATAAAAATTATTGAGGACACTGATGTCATTCCAAATAGATAAGAGAGTAACTCCTTGCCAACAATTTCAATAATTCTAGTAATGAGCTTTTAAGGTTATAATATTAAAGAAGCTGAGCCATCAAGTTCTGATTTGTGCAGAGTGACTTAACTTTGTGTCATGTTTACCTTTTCTAATTCATTTTGGATTTATTTCCAAAATAAATGTGCTAGATATATATGACTCAACCTCTATTTTGTTGTAATGACATTTTCAAGTCTTTGAAGGAAAGAAAGCTCTTGTCAACATATCAGTCAAATATATATTAATACAAACGCAGTATAAAATAAGCCATTTTTTTGGAAACAATAAAGTGCTGAAGCTCTGAGGACTCCTATCCCAACCTGGCTGGATGTCAAAAGAGCTGCCCAAATGTACCACCCATGGCATCAAAATCCAAACCCAGGCTTTAGCAAAGCAAAAATAAGACTGTGGTTTTATACTGTATGCTTCAATGTTCAGAAATAGCTAGTTAAGAGTTACTTTATTTTATTATTATTTTTTTAAAGATTTTATTTATTTATTTGAGAGAGAGAATGAGATAGAGAGCATGAGAGGGGGGAGGGTCAGAGAGAGAAGCAGACTCCCCGCCGAGCAGGGAGCCCGATGCGGGACTCGATCCCGGGACTCCAGGATCATGACCCGAGCCGAAGGCAGTCGCTCACCCAACTGAGCCACCCAGGCGCCCAAGAGTTATTTTAATAAGCGTCTAGAATCAAACTTTTTCCTTTTTAGCTTTCATATGTAAATCTTAGATACTTCCAAATCACTTGGGAAAAATTATCAATAAACACAACAGAGTTTATTTTGTTTTACTGAAGAGGAGGATTTATACAACAACATTCTAGAAAAGGAAATAGCTCTTATCCCTTCTGACTTACTCACTTTTTTTCAATCTTGGTTGTTTAATTTTTAAAGATTAAGTGGTAAGAACCTTAGATATCCTTGGCTCCCCTATAATGGATAAGAATTAGATTATTAAAATATCAGAGTCTACGCCAGCATTGGTGGAGTTGGGGAATGGGGGGCGTAGAAATCAGTTATACTTCTGCTTTACCTTGGTTAGTTTATAGCACTGCTCTGCAGTACATTCTGCTTTGCTAGTTGGATTACTCAAAGCGAAAATAATAGGCCGTTCATTGAAGGCAGCCATATCTTTGAGAATTTGTTCTGAGAATGCACCACCAATTGCAGCAACTCCTAATGTAAAAATGAGAAACCAATGAATAGACTATTATTGGTTAATTAATCTAAGAAGTTCATGCCCTCAAAACAATGAGACATGTCAGGTCACTGTTGAATAGACCCTAAACAAACTAGAATATTTGCATTAAAGTGACAAAAACAGATAAGTTTACTAATGCCAATGATCTTGAGGGTTACAAATCTATAAGTATCTATATAAAAAATCACAGATATAACATTTGGCTCATAATACATTGCGTTAGTGACCCATTTACTAGGTAATTTAATTATAAACATATCAGGAAATTAAAATGTGCCTAATATTTATTATTTCTCTATAAACAATTCTATGAGTATATTCCAGTCTCTCAGGCTATAAAGTAATTATGTTTTATAAACCAGCGCTAATACTTAAGACAATCATCCAATTCAATTGTAAAATTGAAGTTATCACTCAATGAAAGAAACCTAACAGAAGAATAAAGCAATTAGCATAATGGAAATGGAAAAAAATCATATTCCTAATATATTTTGTTAAAAACAACAATAAAGGCTTATTGCAGTTTTTGTTATAGAGTATTTGCTTTTATTATGATTATCATAATTGTTCTCAATACTGTCATCTGTTTCACAAGAGCTTCTAGGTATGAAGTATAATACAAAGTAAGGACTAACATCATACACACAAAAATAAGGCATAAAGTTTTATAACTTCGACTGAGTTTTTTTAACCACGTTAAATTTATTGACTATATTAAAGATAATATGTGCACATGCACTGTGTAAGCTACTGTGTTAAGTGCTATGAGGATTATAAGTATGGTCCCTGTCTTCAAGGAGGGTCCAGTTAGTTCAGTGTTTCTCAACCTCTGGGATATTAACATTTTGGGTTGGATAATTGTTGTCAGGGGGAGGGCTTTCCTGTGCATTGTAGGATGTTGAGCAGCATTCTTAGTCTCTACCCACTAGATGTTAGTAGCCCTGAGCACCCTACCCCCGACCCCTCCAAAGTTGTGACAACCAAAAACATCTACAGACATTGCCAAATGTTTCTTTGGGGGCAAAGTCACTCCCACTTGACAACCACTGTCTATCTGGAGTTATTAAGCCTGGTGAAGAGTTGATTATGCCAAGGATCAAGAGGTTGACCGAGTTAGTAGAGGGGGACCCCCCACTTCAGCTGGCATCAGTAAAACTGAGAAGACAGTAAGTACTAAATTTATAAATCTAGGTGTCCATGGGGTACTGTTGATTCAGTAAACGTGTAATTGTGTTTGTGAATTCCAAAGGTTAAAATTTCAAAAAGTTAAATTATGCCTCAAAAATCAGTATGAAAATGAATCAGGCCAAAATGGGATTAGGGTAGGGTTTACTGGAAAGAGGAAGTTTACCTATGAGGGCAGTTGGTTTTATTTCTCGAACAATGGCTTCTAGGTTCTTCATTTCTTCATGTTCATGGGCAAATTCCTCCTTCTCTTGTGTTAAGGCAGCTCGTCCCTGAGTAAAGCAAATAAAAAGAAATGTTAAATCTGCCAAACGTATGTGAGCCAAAGAAATTTCAGAATATTACACATATTACTGGTATTTTTGTTTAACATCTTCATGTATCATGTTTTACAGCTGTTCTTAAACTCTCTTCTCCAATTATTGGAGTATTCTTTCATTCAGTCTTTCAACAAATACTGTGCCTCAGACAATGTTCTAGGCAATGGGGATGTAACAGTGAACAAACTAAAGTCTTTCCCTTTCTTAACTATTATTTAATATTAAAAATTTTAATTCTACAGACATTTGTGAGAAACTGGCACTAATAAATAGCAATGCGAAATGTCATTTAAATATCATTTACAAAACATTATTTGTGTTAAATAACACTGTCTTAGAATGCAGAGCTGGCTTTAGCCACAGCACTTCCAAATTATGTACCATTGAGTAAAAATAGAACTTGATGCCATATTTATATCATAGTTTGATTTTTTTTTATTAAAGATTTTATTTATTTATTTGAGAGGGAGAGAATGAGAGACAGAGAGCACGAGAGGGAAGAGGGCAGAGGGAGAAGCAGACCCCCTGCCAAGCAGGGAGCCCGATGTGGGACTCAATCCCGGGACTCCAGGATCATGACCTGAGCCGAAGGCAGTCGCTTAACCAACTGAGCCACCCAGGCGCCCCATAGTTTGATTTTCTGAACAAGAACTAGCTTTGTGTATTTTTATCTTAATGTTTTATGAATGTATCATGTATTATCTAGGAAACATCTAATTATAATTTTCTAGCTGCAAATTTTTAAGATTTTGACTTAAAATAATAAAGCACTGCCTAATATTATATCATACTTTAGGACTTACAAGTTGTTTTCATATATTTCATATGATCCCCTCAACAATTTTAAGAAGTAGGGCAACTATGGAGTGCCTGGGTGGCTCGGTCAGTTGAGCGTCAGACTCTCGATTTTGGCTCAAGTCATGATCTCAGGGTCGTGAGATGGAGCCCCTTCCAGGCTCTGAGCTCAGTGGGGAGTCTGCTTGAGAGTCTTTCCCTTTGCCACCCCTCCCACCCCAGTCCTGTCCCCGCCCTGCTCGCATGCACTTCTCTCTCTCTCTAAAATAAATAAGTCTTGAAGAAAAAAAAAAAAAAAGAAATAGGGCAACTAATTAGAGTCATTTTACATGAGGAGACAAGGCTCTGAGATGTTAAGGTACTTGCCCAAGGCAGATGCTGGAACTCAGTCTCTAATAATACAGCACAGACCTGGAGAAAAAGCTTTACAAATGGTATGTTTGTTTTGGTACATTTGTTTTTAAATGGTATATGTCAGATTGCTTATAAACTGTTACCCCTGAAGATGGTACAATTTTCTTGTTTTGAAAGGTTATTACCATTTTATTTCTGTTTTTAAAGATTTATTTATTTATTTTAGAGCGAGAGAGAGAGAGAGAGAGAGAGAGAGAGCAGGGGGAGGGGCAGACGGAGAGGGGGAGGGAGAAGCAGACTCCCTGCTGAGTGTGGAGCTCCATAGGGATCCCACAACCCTGAAATCAAAACCTGAGCCGAAATCAAGAGTTGGATGCTTAACAGACTAAGCACCCCTAGGCGCCCCTATTTCTGTTTTTAAAATACACGTGGAGTCTGCTTGGGATTTTTCCCTCTTCTTCTCTCTCCCCCTTTGACCCTCCCCCTGCTCGAGCTCACTCTCCCTCCCTAAAATAAATAAATTTTTAAAATCTTAAAAAAATAAATAAAGTACTTAGGATTATGCCAGGTTTTTCTTTCTTTGTGTGTGTGCCAGTTTTTAACAAGAGCTCAACATCAGTTGTAGTTGTAATTAAAATTATTGTAAAGAAGAAAAAAGTCATAATTGCAACAGTTATAATTTTGGTACGTTTCTTACAGTTATCATCATTAGTCATTTCTGAGTTCTACGAGGTTATTTATCTTACCTTTTCTTCTGAGACACTGTGAAAAATAATCTTAACACTAACTAGAAAAGATACCTGTATCCCCATGTTCACTGCAGCATTATTTACAATAGCCAAGACATGGAAGCAACCCCAGTGTCCATCAATAGATGAATGAATGGATACAAAAATACACACACACATATACACACGCACACAGAGAATACTATTCAGCCATAAAGAGTAATGAAGTCTTGCCATTTGCAACAACATGGATGGGCCTTGAGGGCATTATGCTAAATGAGATAAGTCAGACAGAGAAAGATAAATACCGTATGATTTTATTTATACGTAGAATCTAAAAAAAAAAAGGAAAAAAGAACCAAAAAACCCCTACAACCCTGAATTTATAGATACAGAGAACAGATCTGTGGTTGTCAGAGGGGAGGAGTGGTGGGGGGAGGGAGCAAAACGGGTGAAGGGGAGGTCAAAAGGTACGAACTTCCCATTACAAAATAAGTCAGTCTTGGGGATATAATGTACGGCTTGGCAACTATAGTTAATACTGTACTGTGTATCTGAAAGTTGCTAAGAGAATAGATCTTAAAAGTTATTACAAAAAAAAAAATTTCTAACCATATGTGATGACAGTGTTAACTTGAGTTACTGTGGTGATCAGTTTGCAATATACACAAATACTGAATCACTGTGTTGCATACCCAAAACTGGCACAAAATGATATGTCAATTATATATCAATAAAAAAATCTTACTTCATTCAGAATCAGATTTGAAGTTTACCATTTCACATTCACTTGAGAGAACATTCTAGTTTTCAGTAATATTCAATTGAATATAGTTAGGTCATATTCATCTTATTTATTAAGAAAAAGCCAAAAGCGTCATATGAATTCAGTTTCCAATTTTATCAGGAAGCATCAAATTGTTCAATAAAACCTATCTATCATCATAGGCTTTACAGAATTAGTTATAAGTCTAGCAACAAATAGCTTATGCAAACCTAGACTGATTTCATGAGTTAAACACTAAATATTCTCAATTTTTTTCTTTTGTATTTATGAGACAAGATTTTTTTTTAAATTGCCTTTTAATAATATAAAGAAATGTATGACAATACTGAAATCTTTACAACTCTCACCAAATTGAGGGGAAGGCCTACCTGGTGCCCCCATCCTCGTCTCTCTTAGCTTCTCAGCCAGAAAATCTATTTCACTTACATATCTCAATTATAGAGATTAATTCAACATTATCCTAGTACATAGACAAAGGCTAGGTTTAATGATAATTTATTAGTCACAAATGGAAAAAACAGAGCCACTTGGAGTACCTCAGAATTCCCTCCAAATATTTTGATAGTTCAGACTTTGACTCAGGCCCCAATTCCTCATCATCCATTTCCTGTGTCAATGTTGTTTGTGCTGTAACCTGACAGTTGCTTCCACAAAAGGCAGTTTATACTTTCCAAGCTCTCGTCTTTGGACTTGGGCATGTAATTTCTTTGGTCAACAAAATGTATGCTGAAATCAGAGTGTGCCAGTTCCAAGCTCAGGCCTTAAGAATAACTGGTGTTTCTGCTTATTCTCTTGTGCCTTTGCCATTGGGCTTTAAAAGTGCGTCACCTGGCTAGCCGGCTGGTCCAACGAGGATGAGAACCTTGTGAAAAAGACCTGGACCCAACCTGTGACTTAGAGCCACCCAGCCGACATCATCAGAGCTACTCTACCTAGCCCTCAGGGGTGTGAGAAATAAATTATTATTGTTGCAGGTCACTGAGATTTTGTGGCTTTTGATAACCCAGCAATAGCTGAGTGATACAGGGGATAATTTTAATTTTGATTATACATCCCATCATTTTTTTTTTACTCATTGTTCTTATCTGTTGCTTTGGGAATAAGAGGTTCCCTTTCCTGAAATGATTTAATGAAAGGAAAGCTTTTGCAATCTATCTGCTACCTCAGTGCTCTTATTACTACTTAGTTATTTGGCAAAAAAAAAAATAATAATAATCTTGCATTACTGGAAAAGTAGGAAAAATTCTGGTCTTGGATAGGAATAAGAACTTGGAACCATTTGAGAGTTACAGTATTTAAATTATTTCTGAACTATTTCTGGAAGTCATATAAGCTAAAATTCATGACTATTTTTGTTCTCACAACAATGAAATTTCTAGGACAGGTACTAAATAAAGTTGCAGCTTGGGGAGACATACTTCCTGGGAATAATAACTTTTAGCTTCCAGCATTCTGAACTAAACACGGCATAGTTTTGGCTTGTTGCTCTTTCCCAGAAATGCATATACTCTGTTTCAAGTATAAAGGCAAGTATCATCTTCATTTCATATCTGAAAATAGCGTCTACCTGGGGCTCTATATGGCAAACACTACAGAACTCCAAATTGCTTTTGGCATGGTTCCTGCACACTTGAGGCTAAAGGGCTAAACTAGATTTTGCAGCCAGAGTTTCTACTTTCAACACAGCAATCACCAAGCTGAGGAACCTTCATAGGATCTTGAGGGAGAAAATGCACATCACGAAGTAGTGGCCATATGGCTCTTCCCGAAGCTTGTGGTAGTGCTTTTTATTTATTTATTTGAGAGAGAGAGAGTGAGAGCAAGAAAGAGCACATGAGCAAGGGGGAGAGGGAGAAGCAGGCTCCCGCTGAGCAGGGAGCCCAACGTGGGGCTCCATCCCAAGGTCCTGAGATCATGACCTAAGCTGAAGGCAGACTAAGCTTAACGCACTGAGCCACCCAAGTGTCCCATGTGTCTAGTTCTTCTAAGGTTTAAAGATTTGCACTTCAGAATGTTTTTATGGACAAGGGAACTTTAATGTGTGCCATGTTCTCAAACAGAGAAAAAGATCTCAGGATAATTATTCAAACTACTCTAAACCAGCTAGAGTCACCTCAGCACAATGTTATGTAGTCTCGAGAGCTGCTGAGAAATGGATAACTCTTAGAGAAGACAACGTATCACAGGGTTTGCCTACTGGTCTTTTTGATTTTCCACCTGACAAAGTGTTAAGTATTATGCAAATATAATTCAATAAATTTACTATTGTATCTGAAAATGTCATATTA